TTATATATTTTTCACAAGAAAAATAAAATATCCTCCTTTTTTTGTATAAAACACAAACGACTCTCAGAATCTATCAAGGAAAAGCGCTGAATTATATGAAATTCACCATTGAAAATCTAATACGAAATATATATTAAGTGAAACGTCCTTTCCATCCAATATCAAGTAAATTTGTTTATGTCAACAACTTAGCAAACGATTGGCAAACCATTTTACGCGTAATTGCAAAGGGGCTTTGCTAACTTTCAGGTGGCCTTGTTCAAAATTAGTCCGTCTAATTTCGCTAATTTCCAATTGCTCACTTTTCTACGTTTTATTTCGAATAATCATGTTTTTTTTTTAAAAAGAAAATTAAACCACATTTACTTAAGTTATAAATAACACGCCGTATGTAACAGTCGTGAGTGTCTTATAAGAAAAAAAATGTGCTGGCAATTTTTATCCCCGAGGTCAAGAGGTCTGCTCGCGCCACTCGACTGCAAATCACTTTTCTTTCTTTTCAGTACGAAAGCGTGGGCGCCACATGATGTGATCTTTTTTCTTTTCTCTTCTTCTTCTTCTTCTTCGAGGGGCATTATTGCCAAAGAGGGGTGCTTTTGACGAGGAGGAAATCCGCGCCAAGAAAAATGCTTCCTGGAAGGCAATTTGCTCGCGATTCATCTTGGCGGTGACTTATGCACTTGTGTGCTTTGGGATTATTCGTGCGAATGTGTTTGGGGTCGGGGACCCGCCGCGGCCGCCTGCAGTTGTAAAACACAACGCTTTTGACACCCACAGCGCTAAATGTGCGTTTTCTCGCGAAAAACGGCGCATGTGGTGCTGGTGGCAGTCGAGGAGGAAACTAAATAAATAGACATTCTAGAATTGGGCTTCCCTGCGACTTGCGGTGTAATTTGATTACAAAGTTAAAAGCGAGATGAATTCGAACAGCTGCAATCCAAAATAAAAATGTCGATTTTCTAACTTTCGGTATTTTGAATTAATTAAATTCAACGTGTATTTCGCTTCTATGGTTTTTCTTTATTGAATAAATAAGTGTAAATCAAGGACTTTATGTATACTTGAGAATAATAAGGGATTTTGTTTTGCGAATCTAAGGCGTAAATTTTTTGTTGCGAAAAAGGTGAACATTTCTTATGCAAATATTTTACGTTTCAGTTAGTTTTTAAGTTGAAATAGGTTTTTAAAAGGTGATATTTCATATTTTTTGAAGTAGAGTTTTTTTGCTTGACAATGAGAGTTAATTTTATGAGAAAAATATCATAGGTCATTTTGTATTAATTATAAATGAAAATTTGCTATATTTCTTTAATTTGATGCATTTTTTTTTTGTCAAAATGAATGATTTTAAACGATAAATTTTTAATGAACCAAAATGGATATTTCAATTGCAAAACTGCTATCCAGTTCTTTAACTACAAATTTAGGTGACAAATGCATCAATTTTTCCTGATTTTTTTTTTCAGCTTCTAATTTTCTCCGATATGAGCAAAGAAGTTATTTGGGAATATTCATCAAAAAAATAGTGCGGGCAACAAAGTATTATTTTTAAAAAAGCTTTTGAAATTGTGGATTTTTTTATCCATTCAAGATCTCCATATTTCTTAACTGCATCTTTTTGTGGAAATGCTAACGATGATGAGCACCAGAGTTGTTAACACGTGATTTTTTGTGAGCAACGCCAAGAGAGACGAAATGCATTGGCTGCTGCGATTGCTAAACCGGCCGCAGCTCTCATAAACAAAACGCGGATGGATCTCCCAGCGCATCACCACGGTGCAGTTGCAAAAGCTAAAGCAAGGGTTTCCAATCGAACTCACCCTGCGGTTGTTTCGCAAGACAGGCGCCGTCTTGGAGTTCTTCATTTTCCGGAGGTTGGACACACGTTTCTGAGATCACACGAAAGCAAGAAAAGAAAGAAAGAAATCTCGGACGGAGCACCAACGGGATCAGCAGGCGCGCCGGGACATTTCGGACGAGTTCATCGGAGCGGTGGCCACATTGGACGCGGAGAAGTGCTGCTGGCTTCCTCGAGCGTGCGAGTGCGAGTGCGAGGAGGAAAACAGGCTGTGCTCTCGACCAGCTGGTGCTCCACACTTAAACTCGCACAACGCCCGTAGTCGTCGTCGAAAGTGGGCCCCGTTTCACCGGCCGACTCGCGTAGTACTGCGCCAGTGACATCATCGGACTCGTTGCCAGTCCCCACTTTGGATTTCACGCGCGGCTTGTGCATATTCAATTAGCGCCTCCTCGGCGGCCGCTTCGCCAAATAGTCGCCGCTCGCTTTTTAAAAAGCGCAAAAAACGCCAACCAAAGTGTCAATCCAAAGTCAAAAGGGCGCTCTCTTGTTACACGCCCGAGCAACAGGCGGATTTTTTATCGAGGGACCTTGGCGAAAATCGAAGGAAGCCCTGAGAAAAAGTACTTGGTTTGTGATTTTGTCAAGATTCGTGGCGCGCCGAGATTAGATTCAGATCTCTCGATTTTATCAGCTACCTTGAAAATAAAATATAAAACTTATCATTTTTCATGGAAAATAGCAAAGTTGGTCTAAATTTTTAAGCTGTTCTGGAATTAAACTTTAACAACACAAACACCCAAAAATTCCACACAAACAAGAAACACGCACACTAAACACAGATTTTATCAGATTTAACCATTTAAATTGTTTGTTTAATGGTGTTTTCGTATATATTTTATCAGAGCTGTTTAATTCGTTGTACTATAAAAGCATAGAGTTTTTGAAAAAAATTAATTTAAAAATTTTTAAATTATGAATCTGAAATTATTACATACCGAAATTCATAATTTTAAGTGTTTCAGTTATTTAAGACTCTCTGCGATGAATGTAATTTTTTATCTACTCGTAAAAGAAAATTTAGCACAATTAAAAATTTCTAACAGACAGGAATTATCATCACTTTCCTGCCAGGATTCTCTTTTTCTTAGGGTGATTTATACAATTCCTCTCTAACAACCAGACTCGATGTATGTATTGTGTAAATTTAGGCAACCTGCGCGTCAAATTTGTTATGAAAATAAAATCGATCAATACAACTCCACACAAAATAAGCGCTTTATCGTTTGTACGGATTTTTTCGCTTGTTTTCGTTGGCGTTGCTTGAAATTGAAAAACTTATTTTATTTCAAATCGATGGATACAAATCAATGCTTATTAAATTTTCATTTCAATAATAGGCTTCATGAATTTCCTTTGCTACACATGAAATTATAAATTCAAAAGAGAACGTTTTTACAAAACCTTTCGTCGTTTGGCAAAACTCTATGCATTTTATAGGAATTAAGAATTAAAAAGAAACTGATGTTTTTTTTTTATAATTTTGGATTATATGTGAAAATTAATACTTTTTCAAGGGAAATAAATAAAAATTGTCACCTTCATTCAACATGTAACAGTCATAAATAGAAATGCAATGTTACAAAATGTTGTAATTGACCTACTACAGAGTCTGTAACAATTTTTATAATATTATACAAATTAATTCAAACAAATCAAATCGAGCAGTTAAAGTTATGCAATCTGACCTACACTCGTGTCAAGCAGGTTGCATCATCACTGGAATTTCGGATACACTTTTCAACTGCTAGAAAATTTTAATTTATCTGCTGCATGAAATTTTTTCCAATTTCCGACAATTCAATTCTAGGGAGAAGCAAAGGAAAGTTGTTTTTGTTGTGCAAAATTGCAAATCCTCGCTAATTCGCTCGCTGCAAATGCGAAATCACGAAGCAGAAACATTGTCAATTATTATTCACATACATGCATATGATCGCTGCGGAAAACATAAATAAATATTTGTGTCAGTGCATGTGGCTTTCTTTTATTGACGTGCGCTCAAAGGAAATGGTAATTTGCTCTCGCGGGCGCATTTTTTCTGCTCTCTGTGCCGTGACTTCGTAAACAAGAGAGCTGCTGCTGCACATGTACGCATACTCAACGTTCTAAGCATTAGCTCTGGTGTGCATGTAGTCAATGAAACTTCCGCCAATGGCCTTTATCATATTTTCCTAACAACAGCGGTACAGCAAGTGGCGCAACGCTGCAGCAGTGAAAAATTATTTCATTGGGAAATGCGAGGCTGTTGCAAACGTGTATACTTGAACTTTTTTACAAGTCATTAATCATGCATGCTTTTAATATGATAAATGTCATTTTTTGTTCTAGGGAGTGCCAAAATCATTTTGAAATCTTGCTTGTAGCGGTAACACGGTTTTAAGGAAAAAAAATAGGATTTGAAGCAAGGTAAATGAACAGAATTGACGATAAAATTGTCATTAAATAAGCAACCACGTTTCAAAAAGTAGAAATCACTTATGTTCCCTATCGTATATTCTAGAAGAAAATTTAAGCTGTTCCCTTTATTGAAATTATCATTTGAATAGCAAATATTCCGCAGTAAGGAATATATTAAAAAAAAAAACACTTTGAAGATGGCTATTCTTAATTTATCCAAAAGGAGACTTTTCAAACTCAAACGCAGAAAAAAATTTAAAAAAAAATCAGCGTTCGAGAGAAATAAAATTGCAACAAGCTAAACACATTCATACCGTTTTTATTCTATTTGGCTGTTTATCTCTCTTGTGGGTTGAAAGATTTTTTTTATTTTCCTCCTATTTCAAGCAGTCGGAAAGCAACAATTTTATCTCGACTCCGTTCTTTGCTAGCTGACATGGCGCTCTCAGTGCCTTGAAAAAAAGCTGCAGGGCTGATTGTATGCACAGCAATACACAATACCCCAGTTTTGTATTTTATATGTACGCGGTTACAATAATGTGAAGCGCTGGTCGTCTTATTACATAAATGCTTAATCTTGTTATACCGAAAGATCCACTCTGGCATCTCGCTCTGGGCAATTTTACATAACGGCAACTTTTTATTTAGCTGCTTGGGTTATGCAAATTATAATGGTAATAATAATAATAATGGGAAAACACGCAAATCGAGGGCAAGTTTAATGGAGTTTTTGTTTGTGACTCACCCGACGGCGCCTGAACCTCTGGATGGACATCTTGAGGCCCTCATCCTCGTCTCCGGGCTCGTCTTCGGCCTGCGAGTTGTTTTCGCCGTTCTCGTCAGCTGTCGACGAGTTCTCCGTCGGGCCGCCTTGCTTTTCGGCAGCTCTGCTGTTTGCTGCTCCCATTTTGTGCCCCTGGTTGACCGAAATGCTCGGAATTATTATTCATTGGAGAGGAAGACCCGAGAAAAAAGTAGCGAAGCGGGCGCATTGGGTCAAGATTATTTTGCAAGTATAAAAACACGGGAGAAACATGAAATATTCAGAGGAAGACAGATTTATAAGAAATAAATATAGATTGTGCACCAAAAATTAAAAATATATCAGGGTATTTTGTATTGACGCACGCCAAGACAAGATTCAGATTGAACTAACTCACAACAGTGAACTTAATTTATTTTGATTGTTGTGTGAGCTGTATCAGATTTTATTGGGAACAAACAGAAACAATGGAAATTGAAGAAATTTTTACCGATTATGTGATGTACAACATTCTTGAAAAATTATTTATTAGAAAAAATTTAACCTTCATAAAAAATGATTAATTTTTAACTAATAATTAAAAAAAAAATCTTAAATTTTTCTAAATAAATGAATAAATTGAATGATTTGCTTGAAATTCTGGACTCATATGACAAGAAACTAAATTTTTTTTAATTTTGATGGTTGGAATTTTTAAATAAGCTAGCATACATGTTAAACAGAATATTTTGGAAATATTAGTTATTATTAAATTAACAATATGTTTTAGCATAATTAGGATTTTTGTTGGATTTAAATTAAAAAATGTAATTTAAAATCCTGAGCTGTTTTCAGGACAGTAGTGCGATTAAACTATAGTCACTCTAATTGATATTTTCCCTACTTATTTTAATTCCAAATGAAATTTAGTTATCTTTTTGAACGGCAAAGGAAAGGAAAATATTAACACGTCTCGATGGCCACTAGACGAGTGCAAAAGTCGCCGGGCAAGGCGATAATTAGCACTTTTGTTTTGCACTCTTGCAGCACCACCCCGTAAATTGCGCGAGCCATTTGAGTGTGGCCGTAACGACAGCTGCAAATCCCCCTCGGCAACACTCCTTTTGGCAACTTGGCTCGCTCGCCAGTCCACCACTTCTATGCACGAAAAATAATTCTATTAAAATTAATTTCCCAATATTATTTTTCCGTATAGAAATAAAAGGTCAACGGTCGGGCACAAGCCGTCGCAGGAAATCGATACTTCCGGGAATTTGTAATAATTGGGACGCGGTGCCTTTTGAGCTAATCCGGCGCTAAATCGCGTTTCGCCACCCCTATTAAAATGATAATGAAGCGCCCGGTGGCCGAGTGCATTAGCGAAAAGGGCCGAAAATGACGCGAAACTCACCTCGATTCACCTAACGACCGTCATAATGGAGCTCGAGCACGCAGCGTGTCTCTCCGAAAGGGTTGAACTGAAGACGAAAACGAACTAATAGAGCAGGGAGGATGATTCGCTTAGCGAGCCTCCATGGAAAATGTCCGGGAAGTCCCGCGACGGACAGCGTCCCAGCTCTCGCGCTGCATGACTCTGACGGCGGTTCGGAAAAATTCGATAAATTCCATACGGCGGCAGCAATTGGGCATGCGTGTGCCCATTCGCGAGGCCTCTCCCCGACCAGAGACTTCCTTCCTCGCTCTCTTTCTTTTTCTTATCATCAACTCGAGAGTTGTGTGTTTTATTTTTCTCGGATCACGCGGCACCCAGGAAAACGAAAGCCGAGAAGCATCTCTTCTGTGTTTTTCTTTTTATTCTATCGTTTGATGATTCACAGAAGAGTTTTGATATTCTGCTTTTGGTTGGCACGTCGGGTCGTCCGTGCTTTGGAAAATCGATACGTATGGGGACGGAGAACGTGCAATAATAAGGTGCACATGGTTACGAGTAGGCGCTACATTGGCATAGGCGCTGCTGGATCTGGTGCCACTGCAAATCGCGCGCTCTGCCGTCTTCACCGGGAACTTTTTCATGAATCGGAGGATGCATTGAGCATAAATATGATAAAAAATGAACATTATAAACTTGCAAGTAAGTTTTCTGACAATAAATGAATATCTAATAACCAAATGAAGTTGCACCAAAATGATCTAAATTGGAGCTCCACGCTATCCCTGAATTAAGGAAAGAGAAACTTTTCAGATGAAATAATTATATTAACTTTTTAAATTTGGACGGTTAATTAATTGTTATTTGTTATTTTTGAAAGAAAAATAATGAAATTATTGATGAAACGTTGAAGTTTTAAATTGAATATTGCAGGAAAAAACTAGATGGTTATAGATTGGTAAACCAATAGAAAATTATGTGTATAATAAAATTAAAAATTTAAATCCAGCAGCTTTTTTGAGAAAAAAGTAGTGGAAAAAAATAGTGTCATATATTAAGCACACAATAATCTCCTAGAAGTTTGAAAAAAATTACGATAGCTGACACCCGTCGCCTTTTGGGGTAAGGTGATCTTTTCAAAGTTCTCAAATGCATAATTTTTAGGCTTAACTTAAAACAATGTTTTAAAGAAAAAAAATAGCACATTTTATGTTATTTCACAGTTTTTTTTTAATAATCATTTCAGCGCAGCATTATTTCACGCTTATTATGTGTTTCTACCAAAGGCGATGGTTTTTTTATCTTGATATTCACATGCAATTAAAAGTAAAAGCACTTTGACATAAAAATAACTACTTAATAACCACTACTTACACATTATTAACTCGTAACAAATTATGTTTTTTTCCTTAGAAAGCATTTCATATAAACGTGCGTTACTTTCGTTTTTTCTTCTCACATCCTCTCTGTTTTACAAGTTTGCTGGCTCGTTATTTAAAATTGAGCTATACAAAAGAATGATCTTCAAGTGAATAAAAATTGCTCAAGCGCTTGCTTACGGATGTGAATTCTTGGACAATTTAGTTGTAAAATTGTCTGCTGGCGTTTTATTGTACTGAAAATTCTGGTGCCAAATCTGTTGGACTATCACGCACATGATATTTTGCATGATTCTCAGCAGGAAATTATATCCTTGTGTGTGGTCCATTGAACAAACGCTTCGTTTATTTTTACATTTTACTTCAAAAAAAGTCTCAAAAATATAGGCACAATAAAATTTGATAAACAAAAGTTTAGCCTACCAGAACCAAGTTGCCAATATTTTTATAGTTTAGCATTTTCATATATTTTATTCTGTTTAGATGTTTTTTAGATGAAATCTGCATACATATAAACAAAAATAATATATAATTTAAGAATTTATGAGATTATAGAGATTCAGCTCTTTAATTTCGCCTATTTTCCATATTCACTTTTTCTTTTAGCAAAGGTGTCTTCGAAGCCCCTTCTTATAACGAGCATCTTGCGTAGGTTTCGCAGCAGTTGTTTGCGCGCAGGTTGGCGGACGCGGCCGTCGCGTAGGAGTGGGTTAAAGGTTTTCAAGTTTCCTCATATGTCTCTTTGGCCGCCACACCCTGCGACGCCGCGCGCGAGAGAGCTTTTTCCATCGCGATAAATACATAAGCAGCGATTCTTGCTAAAAAGCGTCCGACCGGCTTGCATGAAAATAAGAATAAAATAAATTCAGTCGACGTGTCGCTTATGCGACCTGAGATTATCTAGAAGCTGCGTGCGTGAGAGATGCCATTTTTCATTTTTATTTCATTCTTCCACTGAACAAAAGATAGCAAAAGCAAACACTACAGCTTTACCAATTTTATTAAAATTGTGATTCTTACATTGTTCAATACATTAATTTCTTATAGTTAACTTTTAAAAATTATAAAATGAAATTTAAATTACGGGACATGGTAATAAATGCTCACCCAACCCAACCCAATTTTCCTCCTTATTTACAAATAGTCTCTCAAATATTTTAATACATATAGGTTTTTAGCTTTTTAGTTCGTCTCAATAGTCAATCATAATTAAAAATAATCACGTGAATCATTATCTGGACGATCGCTTGACAGACAAAAGCTGCAAACCTTAGAAGAACTCCCTATTCCCATGGCTGATTGCTGGAATTTAAGATGAATTAAATAATTTTGACAAGAAATATTTTTATGATAAATCCACAATCAAATTCAGTGGGAACATGGAGAAGCAATCATTACTAGTTAAAGAGATCTAGCATACAAGACCTTCATTTTGGATCAGAATATTTAAAAACAAAACAATCTTCATATTTTCTTTAAAGATATAAGTTTTTCAACAACAAAAGAATAATTAACATTTAAGAATAAATAAGTTTAAGCAGTAAAAAAAATATAAATATTTTAATCAAATAAGACAGTTAAAAGGATATTTGATAAAATAAAAATATATGATAAATACTTTTTAGAATATTAAATGTTTTATAAATTATGAACTTTATAAAAAAGTGCAAAAGGTCATTGGTTTGGAATTGCCTCATTTGCGGTTGGCGAACACAGCAAGCGTAAAATGCGTGTGCCGGCTAAGTTTCCACACTTTTCAGTGGGTGTCCCTCCGTCCTCCGTCCGTCTATAAATTACACTCACACACACGCTTTTGCGGAGAGGAAAATATTTTCCTCTCATTCTCTCCGTATCTATCGTGCAGAGAACACTCTTCTGCAGCAGAGAGAGATGGAGCGGGTCGTTGCCCTAAAAGTGACGATGCTGCTCCGTGGCTCGCGGTGCCGCCGCTCAGTTTCACTTGAATGCAGCAAACATGCATTTATTTCATATACACTCGGATAATTGCTATATAGCTGCATTCATGCATTGTTCTTCTTGGAAAAGAATAATTAAATATTCTGTTTTGAAAAAAATCCGACGCGCAGAAAAAGAGATTCCTTTTCCTTTCTTTCGTGAAAGAATCGGATGAGAAAAAAATAAACACACATTCAGAATGGGATTTTATTATTGTATGGACTCGCGGGGCAGTGCGTCTTTTCTCGCGGCGTTAATTTATCACCAATTGTTTGGTGCTCTATGCTGACAGCATCCAACTATATATCAAAAGTGCGCAGGACGCGAGGGTGTCAGGAATTTTTATTCTTTGCTCACGAGGATTTTCTTCGAGCTATTCTGGGGTTCGGTTGAGGTAATAAAATAATTAATCTTGAAAGCGGTTGAATTAAATTTTGAATCTTCTTACAATTAGTGGATCCTGCCAGCAATAAAGCAAATTGGATAATTAAAATATTATTCAAAAAATTGTAACAGTAAGTCCAAATTTTAAAAACTTTTTAGAAAGCAAAGCAAAATATTATGCATGACTTTTCCATTTTGATTTTTGTTATAATAAATGAAAAAAACATTTTCAAAATGATTTATTTCGATTTCTGATTGTTAATTAAATTTGTAATTTTCATAAAAGGATAGAGCAATCCACGTCCATTAATTTAGTTTTCAGTATGAACAAGAAATATAATTGAGAGCTAGATGATGATTTATAATTTTTTTAAATTAAATTTTTGTTTTAGATTGATCGTATTGGGGTACAATAACCTTTTAAAAAACAATTGTAAAATATTTTATTCCTACATCAACTGTTATACTAAATAAAAAAATTATAGTTTTTAATTAGTAAAAATTGCAAAATGTTCGAAATTTAATGATTATTTAATAAACATTTAATTATAATCTTATTTATTTTTTAATAAGTACTAAATTTTGTTTTTGTTTTTAAATCAAATCATTATACCAGTATTTTATTAAGTTTGTGTATTCCTTTTACCTTATTAAAATAACTATTTTTGCACCACAATGTTTTAGTATAAACAAATTGGCGTATGTAATAGAAATACAAAATTAAAAAAGCTTAAATCCTTTAAACTGCTTCGTCACATAATTCATTTTCAGAACGGTTTAACCTTTAGTGCTGTAGATAATTAAGAGTTGATAAAAAATAAAAACTGCTCGCCCTTTCATCGATCGGAGATCATTAATGGCTCTATTTAAGTCCAGGCTTTAAAATGAGCGCCCCAGGAGACAAACAAGAAGAGATCGCGCGCTCCTCTCAGGTTCTTCGATCTTTTCTTTTCTTGAGCGACTCATTACCCCTTCGCTATTTATTGCCGTGTCTGTCGATCTTTTTCTTTTCTTCTTGCGGTTTCTGTCTCCGTCTTTCTCTACACATATACCTCGCAGCAAGTTAATGAATAGAAATTTCGTTCCTTATTCTCTTCGCAGCAGCAGAGATCGCGCTTGCTCATAATCGAAGCGCGCTCTCGACCGACGTTTTATACTTTGTTGTTCGCCAACCATTGTTTTGAATAACTGGAGTCGTAAACCTATGATCCAACGCGCTCGCTGCCTCTCTTCATCGGCTCTGAATCTGTAAAGGTTAAGAGACCATTGACTTGTGCGATGTGCTGCTGGTGCTCCGTTGCCTCGACGACGAAACTGCACAGTTGAAAATGCGACTATTTAAACGAAGCGTCGGTCGCAGTGATGGCGATGAACTGCATCAAGTGTAATAAATTTAATTGAATATAATTTCGATAATTGCTTAAACGAGATAATTGATTTATTCATGAAAATTACAAGGTGAAAACCCTCATGAAGAGTGATTTTAACAATTTTAGTATTTTTTCTTTATTTTAATTAATTTATAGTTAAATTATAAATATTTGGTTCCTTAACTCATTA